GAGAGAGAGAGAGAGAGAGAGAGAGAGAGAGAGAGAGAGAGAGAGAGAGAGAGAGAGAGAGAGTTGGCTACTGCGTGCCAAAATTGAATCGATGTCCATGTTCACCGTGTAATAGTCATGCAGTAGTGAACTCCGGAGGGGATTTAGTCTCACATGTGGTTTTCACCAGTTCATAAGGTTTGCCACATTTGAGATGATTTCTCTCAACAATTGACAGAAAGAAAGAGACAAATGTTTTTTGTTGTTTCCCTGTGCTTCGCAAGAAAAACGGTTCTCTCTCTCTCTCCCACTCTCTCGGATGTAAGACCATAGCGAAACAACACGAGTTTCTCACAAGACGACAGATAGAGAGACATGTTATTTTTTTTTTTATGTACTGCTTTTAAAGATCTCTCTCTCTCTCTCTCTCTCTCTCTCTCTCTCTCTCTCTCTCTCTCTCTCTCTCTCTCTCTCTCTCTCTCTCTCTCTCTTAAAGAGCCATAAAGACCCATTTGCTTTTGCGCGTGCTTTTGGCTGTTCCTTTTCTTCTTTTGATTTTCTCTTTTCTCTTTTTCTTTTTGCTTGCAACTTTGTGCTGAGCTAGCTAGTAGCTACCTAATATGAGATCTTTTTTTTAGGGCCTATTTCCATTGAGTTTTTATGGCCGCCGATGCATGATTTAGCTTTGATGGTAATCCTTGTAGCTTTTCAGGGTAAGTCCCCACCCTGAGCTAATAATCTGAAGATCGGAATTTTTTTAGGGGAACAGGCCCAGTCAACCGGCCGGTAGGACCGGTCCGGTTCCGGTTGGGGGAGGGGCCCCCAGTCCTAGTGGGTTTACAGCACTGACACCCACTCGATTTTTTTTATTTTTCATTTTGAAAACACTGTGGCTCTGCTACGGGGGCTGATGTGAGCATGCCCCTCCCGTAGCCCACACCCACTCGATCGTAACCCTTCTCCAAGTCCATTCTAGACTCTCTCTCTCTCTCTCTCTTCTTTTTTTTTTTTGATAACATCGGGTTTAGGGTGTGATGGGGAGGTGCTGGTAGGAGCAGACATCACCATCACAAGCCCGCTAATTGATGGCTCCGTTCCATTGGTGGGGAGCTGCACCTGCTGGAAACCGGGCCCAGCATCCCTTTACAGCAAAAGTTCAGACTATATCTCTCTTGTTGCTAATTGTGCCTACTTATAATATTTTTATTATTTACAACTCTAGGAGCAATGATATTATCTAGTGCAAATGACTTAATAACCATTTTTATCTCTCTAGAATGTCTTGGAGGGATATCTAATTTTGAGCGGAGAGAGGGGGATTTGAAGTTGAGCCTCCGTAGAATTGATTGAACATGACCATACTTTTTGTTTTTTGTTAAGAGAGTAGGCGCAGGTTCACGAGCGATATCCAATTTTGGACGGAGAGAGGGGGATTTGAAGTTCCGTAGAATCGATTGAACATGACCATGACTACAGGGGCGGGGCTCTGTCTCAGGTTGCAGACCGGCAGTTGCCGAGACTTGACGTTCGTCATGATGTATTGCTGCCTTGTCATTGGATCAGTACCTCTGGGCCTCAGCCCTCCTCCGTGCAAGCACGGACTCAAACCGGCGACCTTGGCCTCAAAAGCCAAGTATCGTAACCACTACAGCCAGGACATGGTGTTCAAAAAGTGGAACCATACCGGCCGTGATATCCACCCCACCCCTGCAAGGCTGTAGTGTCCATACTCAACGCACACCACACACAACACCACACGGACGCTGGCAATCACCGCACACTTCGCTCCAAGTAGCACATGACCCCCATCGGTAGTATAGCCCGCTCACTTATGCGGGACTTTTAACTGCCCGCCAGTTCACGGGAGCTTTCCAATGTCGTTGAACCAGTACCTCTGGGCCTCAGCCCTCCTCCGTGCAAGCATGGACTCGAACCGGCGACCTCGGCCTCAAGAGCCAAGTATCGTAATGTTGCTGCCTTGGGCACAGGTCTGGATTGAAATAAATTTCCTTTCAAAAAATACAAAGAATAGGGCAGAGAGAACAAGTGGGGGAAGAGGAGGGGGGAGGGGGGGGGGAGAGGAAGAAAACGAAAATTTGCAAAATACCCCTAAAATAGTTCACATTTATCATAAAAAAACAGAACTGCCCGGTAAACCGTAGGCAGAGAGGGAGAAGCGGGGCTGTGACAAACTGTTTCATTGGAGTTTCACCGACTCATCAGGAGGCTGAACACTCGACAGTCTGCAGAATCCCCTAACTGGTTACACTGTAAGTGATAATTCACCTTAACCCCGGTTGTGGTTAAGCATCAACGACTGCCCGACAACTGATACCCTGAGGTGGGCACCAACCACCTCAGGCTGAACTTCTTGTTGTTTTTTTTATTAAATTGAAAGGAGGGGAAGAGTTAGCGGTGGATGGCCCAGTGGTTAGGGCACTGGTTGGAAATGCACATTGTGGTCTGAGGTTGCGGGCTCAAAACCCCGCACCCTCGTGCATAAGCCACCGGCAGGGCGTTAGACTGACGCACTACCACTCACGCACTGAGTGGGCTCCCAGGGGTACGGATGTACATAGGGTGCTGTAAGGGTCTGAATTGGGGACTCACCCGCTAGGGTGCCTATCAGATCCTGACTGCCCAACCGTGCATCCCGGGTCCCCACCATGGTCAAGTGTGTTCTTCCCCTTGGGGTTGCTGGAGGCCATGGGGAGAGAAGGCTCAGGGAGGAGCAGGCTCAGTAGGAGGCGTAAGGGAGGAGCGAAGGGCTCGTCCCCTTCCTAGCGGGAGTGACTCTCATCCCCGTAGCACCCGGTGACTGTGGTGCATCTGCCTCCCGGCTGGGGGCCTAGGGATGCAGGACCCCGAGTTCGAGGGGGGTGCACCCTGGCGCTGGTATCCTGGTAGCTCCGGTCCAGGGTGATACTCCCGGGTGTGTGTGTGGCAAGGTTGTGTGTCCTGCCTTGAGTAATCCCTGTGTGGGTGGGTCCGCTGTGCCGACAGGTAGGCTAAACCCGGTCCGTGAAGCCTCCTGCCGGACTTCCTCCCTGGGCTCTATCCCCGACACCTCCCAGCCCTTTTAAAAAGAAAGGAGGGGAAGAGCAGAGGGAAGCAAAACAATACGAAGATGCGAGACCAGAGAAGCAGAAAACGAGCGGAGGAAGACGGAGAGAAGATGTGGAGAGAAATAGGGAGGGAGAGAGAGAGATGAATGAGGCACAATGGAGCACATAACACCCCAAATAAAGAAAGCACTCCCCAGTGTCCACAGTTTCCATACTGGGGTCTCTTGGCACGTTAAAAGGGCAACAATGCTGACTGCCGTCATAGCCAATGCTGACAGCCACCATAGCCAACACTGCGTGCTATCGCCCATAGCCAGCGCTGACTAGCACAGACAATGCTAACTGCCATCATAGCGAATGCTGTCTGCTATCTCCCATAGCCAGTGCTGAATGCCATCATAGGTAATGCTAACTGTTATCGTAGCCAATGCTAACTGCCAAAGCCTATGCTGGGAGGTAATGCTAACTGTTATCGTAGCCAATGCTAACTGCCAAAGCCTATGCTGGTGTCTATCTCCCGTAGCCAGTGCCAGTGCTGACTGCCATAGCCAACGCCAACTGCCATCAAAGCCATTGCCAATGCTAACTGCCATCATAGCCATAGCCAATGCTAACGGCCATCATAGCCAATGCTACCTGTCATCATATAGCCATAGCCAATGCTAACGCCATCATCCCCACCGCCAACTGCCATCATAGTCAATGCTAACTGACGCCATAGCCAATGTGAACGGCCACCATAGCCAATGCTAACTGGCATCGTAGCCAATGCTAACTGGCGTCGTAGCCAATGCTGACAGCCATAGCCGATGCCAACTGTTATCATGGCCAATGCTAACTGCCAAAGCATATGCTGGCTTCTATCTCCCATAGCCAGTGCCAGTGCTGACTGCCATAGCCAACGCCAACTGCCATGATAGCCAATCCCATTGCTAACTGCCATCATAGCCATAGCCAATGCTAACGGCCATCATAGCCATAGCCAATGCTAACGCCATCATAGTCAATGCTAACTGCCATCGTAGCCAATGCTAAAGCCAATGCTAACTGCCACCATAGCCACTGCTAACTGGCGTCATAGCCTATGCTGACTGCCAGAGGCCAAGTGAGAGACAGTGGGTGTAAGCCCCGCAGAGTCCAGAAGCATGCATGCATGACGAATGGGACGGGTTCCACGCAGGACAACTTAGCAGCCAGTCATCCAGCAAACAGGAGTGCCGGGAGGTGACATCGACGGCGGCGCCGCCTTGCGATGCACTTGACTAAGGGCATACTCACACTAGCAGTATCTCAAATGGATCTGACCGCATTCACGGAGGTATCTAGCCGCAATTCCGTCCAAAAATACGTAAAAAAAGAAGAGGGTTCACGCAACGTTCTTCGAATCACGTCACTCTCACAAATGGCCACAGCCCAAGAATGCACAAATGCCCCAAACTTCCGTGCTTTCGTTCGTTCGTTCGTTCGTTCGTTCGTTCATTGTATGCAAGTGCGCTTGCACGTACGTATCCGGCAAAAAATGTTGTGTTCCCCTACACATACATCTTCACGGACCAGCAAACAACCCCTCAACCCTAAACCCTAAAAGGCTAAAAATAGAAAACAACTTTGTTCGTGCTGTTTCTGTTGTTCTGCAAATTGCACCCTTTTTTTTGTTTTTTGTTCTTTGTTTTTCCATCGTTACCTGGATTTATAAGTGGTGGTGGGGCAAAATATCTCCCCCCCTGGGCACAGAATTCCGCTTTCCCTGAGTGCAGCAGGCTCCTCCTCTCACTGGGTGCAAAATGTTCCGAATAGGAAAAACCGCATCACTCGCATCTGCCTTACGGCCATGGGGGAAGCAGTCCACATGGCCAAAAAGGGAAACAATCAGACCGACGGAGGAAGATAGCCAAGAATCTTCGGCGGCTCCCGTTACTTGTGCATGCTTTCTTTGCTTGACACTGTCGATGGAGACGAGCTTTCTTCACTTTTTCTCTTCACACAAAAGGCCAGCTGCACTCAGCAAAAACACAGAGGCAAACGAAATCACAACTGAAACAGGTGTGAAAGTGTGGCCGAGGGCAACCAAGAGTAAGGACGGCCATCCTCCTCATGATCATCATCATCATCATCGCCATCATCAAGGCAACCAAGAGTAAGGGAGGTCTTCCTCCTCCTCCTCCTCCTCCTCCTCCTCCTCCTCCTC